CTCCCCACCCCCTACTCTCCTCAAATGCCCATTTGGTGCCAGGGAAACACCAAACCAGAAGAAACTGTTAATGAAGCCAGCAGTTTGATCATGAGCAGGAAAACCAGTACAGTCTTAAGTCCTTGAGCAAGCAAAAAGCTTTATTTCCTATTAACAGATCCATGCACCTTGAGTATAAGAATACAGGTTACAAGGTTGGAGTACAGTCTCTAATAAAATAAAAAAGAAACAAAGATGGATTCCTACTCTAAATTTAGCAGTTACCTGACATCAGAATCTCTCTCCTCACCTTGGGCTGAGTTGCCTATGCATGTCTCTGTGTGTGTGCACATGCATGCATACTGAAGCTTTTTCCAGATGACCCCATACATAGGAGGAGCAGGCTTTTAACCCTCTCCTTTCCAGTTATGTCAGAGGCTGCTGCCCAATCTGTTCCCTGGGGCTTTCCTCTCTTTTGCCTGCCAAAACCCTCCTGGCCAGCCACCTTGAGTCCCAGATCAATGTGCTTTAATGTTTAACACCAACAATATGACCATACATCTATCTGGCCTCTAGTGACATCCTCCAAACTGGATGTCTCCAAACACTGTGTATTTCCAGTAATCTCTCTCCATAAATTCCCCACTTTGTCCTTGGTGACCATTTGGGCTGGTTTATGGCCAGGGTTGCCACTTTGCAGATGTATTTTTCCTAAGGTGAAGTGGGCCTTATGCTCTCATTTGTAACACCTGCCACTTCTCCAAGGCCTCCCAGAGAGAGCAAAAGGGCTGCCAGGTGAGATGAGTGGCAGAGTGAGGAGAACCGGGGTGCAATAATCCTCTCCCCTTTAGACTAAGGGCCTGGGGAGAACCAAGCAGGTCTCCAAAGAGTGCATGGCCCTCCAAAGAGTAGACTACCCATGCTCTACAACAAAACACAGGTACCAAAACTAGCCTTCCACTTACCATGTTATCCTCTTAAGAGTCTGAGTACAGGAATACCATGACTCTTGAAACCTATGAGAAACCGTGTGCCAGTATGGCCCCAACTGAGGCGGATGACTGCCTGTATGAACTAAGAATGTGAAATGTAACAGTCTATGCAGAGAAGCAACTGCTGCTGTGGCTGTAGGTCTGTGCAGAGGATCTCAAAGAGAGACCAGGATGGTCAGGCTAGCCTTTGGAAAAGAGGATGTGGCTAAGCCCAAAAAGAAGACATAAGGCTATTTTTAGAGACAGGACCCATCAGCTGGAGCAGTGTCTAGCACTGAGAAAACAGCACTACATGTTCTTCACAGCTGTAGCCTTTTGGACAATGCAAGGATGGCTCAGATTCAACGGATTCAACGGATTCAACATGCACAGAAGAACAAAATGCAAAGGAATAGAAAAAAGGAAGATGTGGCTAAGGCAAGACAGGCAAAAGAGGTTCAAGCCCACATAACAGGATGTAGTAACTGTCAGTACAGGACTGAAGGGCAATAGATTAAACACAAATAAATAGGGAAGCACTGCATTGTGACATCAACCCAGGAAGCTCTCTAATACTTTAGTTCATTTAGCAAACATATTTAGGACAAAGATAATAGCAACAGAGTTGACATTTCCAAGACTCTGACTGAAGGACCATATACAGATACCCACAATGTCTGTATGGCTCAACTACTCTAGTGTCCACGCTCCTGGCTAGGGGCATGCAAAAAAAATTGTTTTTCCCTGATTTGGGTCTATTGGATCCGAAAAATATCAGTATTCCTGAATATTCCTGAATACCCATATCAGTTTTGTATTGGGATTCGGGTAAATGTTTGGGGACGTTGCCACAGGGTATAATGGAGAAGGGATTTGAACTTTAAATGCTTGCTGAGTTCGGGCCTGTAGCCATGGTGGGGCATCTCAGGACCATGCCCCCTTAATTAAGAACCACGCCCCACAAAATTCTCTCTCAAAAGTTATATACCTTTTTAAAAAGTATTGATTTAGCCACATTGTGCCTGGAGTGCTCAAGCCACTACAGCCGAGTGAGCCATGCAGGGGGAGAGCAGGATGAGCTTGTGAGTTTTGCTCGTTTCCCAGGACTCCAAGCAGGAGGCACTTGCCTGACGTGCCCAAAGCTGGGCTGTAAAGCAAGCTGAGCGGCAGCGGGAAGGATGGCGCCTTGGGCATGGCCTGGCAGAGCAGCTGCCAAGCTTGATCTGCTTGGGCAGCCCCTGATGTGGCAGCCAAGCCTGAGTGCCACCGGGCTGCTGGGAGGGGGGGGTCTGTCTCGATGTTGCAAATGAGTGCATTTGGCAAGTCCTTAAATGCACACACACTGCACACCTGGGAGATGTCTGTATGCATGCCACGGAATGCCCACCAGATTGCAAGCCACCTGAGACCACCACGGGAGAGACAGCAAAACTGCGCTGACATTCAGAGCCCTTTGCAAAGGCAGCAAGCCGGGGCGAAGACAGGTAGTGATAGATGGCGGCCAAGGGTAGGAGAAAGCAGCTCCAGGGGGCTTTTGGCAGCCGACTTGGGATGGGTGCGTCGAAAGCAAGAAGGCATCATGAAAACCTGAACCCCTCTTGCTCAGCTGGCCCTCTCCAAGGTGGTACAGGAGGAAGAACAGGCTGGCTGGCTGGCTAGCAAGCTGCAGGAGGGAAAGGCAGGAGGAAGGACACGATGTGAGTGAAATTTTTATAGAAATTTGGTGTATGTTTTTTTTATTTTATTTTTAGTTTTGTGACGCCCTACCAGTTCCCCAGTGCCCCCCCCTTGATAATTTTCTGGCTACAGGCCTAGCTGAAATGCCTTCTAGCCAGGCCCGAATAAAAGCCAAATAATATTGGCTTTTATTCAGGCACAGCTATTTCTGTATTTGGCTGTATTCTGATCTGTATTTTTTAGGTATTTATTCGGCTCGGTATGTATCAAGCGCACATCCCTACTTCTGACCTTCCCTCTCTCATGGTGGAAATCTCTGTAGGCTGCCAGCACCTACAAACCGGGTGGGGTATAATTTAGCCACTACACTGTACCTGTATATAAGAATATTTAATTGCCCAAAATAGACAGGGCTTGTTTCAGAGAACAGTTGACAGGGCAGGCCTGACCCAAGTCTCACCAGGAGGCTACTCGAAATTGCCAGGAAAAGCAGTATGCACCCATCCGCTCCATCCCAGAAAACTTCCCACATCACAAGCATGCACTCTGCCCCTTCCCAAAAGGAGACACAAGAGAGCTGTTTCATATAGGGAGATGCCTGTAAGCTGGACTGGCTAATAAACACACTGCCTGCCAGCACATTCCAGCTTTGAGAGCCGTCCTGGCCCACCTAGACCTGACCCCAAGCAGTACTGAAGTCTGGATGCTTCTACATCATCCCCCCTATCAAGAGCCCTTTGACTTGGAAAGGAAGGCTTCAGTCTTGCTCTTTGACCAGGTAATGGAATATGTGTTGTAAGACACCCTTGAAGAGCTTCGCTGGAGGATGACGTTGATTCCTCCCCTTTTTAACGTTTTCCCCCACCCCATTACAGCTCACAAGCCTGTAACCATGTCCTCGTCTAGGGCACACTGTGCTGTTTCAGCATTTGGAATGCAGTCGCGTCTGCTTCCTCACAGGATAATCATGTTGGTGTACTTGGATCTTGATTGCTGTGACAGCCAAAGAACCCCTGGCCCAAGCTCAGAAAGTCAAACTGGCCCCAGAGTGTTGACCCCAAACAGTTGGGAGTGTCTGACCACAGGAATCTCCGGCACAGGAGTATTGACTAGGCAGGTTTACAAGGAAGTGGCCAATCTGCCTGCTGCTAAGGCGGTCATAATGAAGCTGCTTGTAACAGAAAGGAGCTTGTTTGCTGGTCCTCGGGGAGCATTCCTGAGGGGTCAATGCCCGTAAAGTGAAATCCAACCTTTCCTGCCAGCTGCCCAGAGGCCACAGCAAGCATATTTGTGCCACTGCCCTGTTTCTGGCTGTTCTAAGTCTGCTATTCACAGGATGGGAGTGACATGCTGCTGGGGCTGCTGCCAAAGCATTCTTGCCATGAAGAAGGGAATCCCACCGGCACGCATAACCAGGTAGGAGCTGTTCTGTCAGCACAACCCAGGGCCTGTGTTCTGGCAGGCAGCTTGGGTGGCAGAGGCCTCCAACATCTATCCCAGCTTCTCATCACCCACTGGGTAATGGGAGCTGTTTCTGTCTCAACATCAACTCAGCCTTTTCTCTGAACTTTGCATTTAGTGTATATGCAGTGTACCATATGCCGACCACCAGCAGACATCAAGACTTTGAAGATTCTGAGGAAACCAAGTTTCAGTCCAATCACACCACACTGATGGCAGCTCCTGAGTAGCATCACTGTTGTTGAATTCACAGTTCACAGGCTAATCCAAGAGCAACTTGCAGGCAGAAAACTGCAAGCATAGTACAGAGGCTACAGTGTTGGACTTGGACCTGGGAGACCCAGATCTGAATCCTCACTCTGCCATGGACACTTTCTGGGTAACCTTGAGACAGTCATGCTCTCTCAGACTGATCTAGGAGGATAAAATGGAGAGGGGGTAATATAGTGTGTTACTTTGGATCTCAACTAGGGGGGAAAGTGAGGTACAAACAAAGCAAACAAATAAAATCAAGCTGCCTCCTTGACACACTGCAATATGTAAAATAAAGATACTTTAATAGCAGAATTCAACAGTGAACACTTAGCTGTTATTGCTGGTCTGTTAAAAAAGCTGCCACAGCTTGGCACAGCCTCAGAAAACTCCATCTGATGCCCATAATGTTGGCAGGCACAGCACCCAGGAAGGCTCTAGCCCCTGAGCATTTGTAATGGCATAACCTCTTCAGTAAGCAGTGCCAGCCACAGGTCTTTGGGCATGCTGTCCACATGGAAACTCATGCTGAAGCCCTGTGAAGCACTCCAGCCCAACTATCCAGAGGCCTCAGAAATACCCTAGAGGGATCTTTGCTTGAGCCCACACATTACCACTAAAGTACACTGTGGCTGTAAGCAAGGACCTACACTTTGCTGCTTATCCCACAGGGCATGGCAGAACGTCTCCAGTGTTGTAAGGACAGCTCATTTGGTGCTCCAATTCTGCCTCACAGAGTGTAATTTCTGGTCATGTGTCTGCACCTCGCAATAGTGTTCACTCACTCATGGCCTTCCCAAGCATCTTCCCTCTGTTTGGCCTCCAGACGTTTCCGCTCTGTAAGAAGAGAGTGACAGATGATGGGACGGTCAATGCGGGAAGCCCGGGCCTTAGAAGAGCCATAAGATCACAAGCCTTCTCCATGCCTTTGGTACACGGTGGCTCCCTTTTCCCCTTTGGCATACCAGGCTGTGCTGCCAGCCCTGCTTCTGTGGCAAGCCACACTGCTTTCTTCAACAAACTGTGGTCAGCTGCTTTGCTGGCACTGAGAACGGAGTGCCCTTTGCTGCCTTCACCACACCAGTGAAGTCCTATGCCCAGCCCCATCCATCCAACATTCCAATGTGCTGCATTTTACCTTTGCTAGGATCAGAGATCCTGCTCAGTGACCCTAAGGAAAGGCCAGTGAGCTGGGAAGAACAAGGACACCAAGAAGCTGGCAGCGGCAATTAAAGTTAATTAGATGTTCCTGCGCATGACTTATACTGCCTCCCGCAGCTGGAGTTCTGCATCCTGGAGCGGTAGTTTGGGTTGGAGTACCATCTAGTGTACAAAGCTAAACACTGCAGCTTCTGACACTATCTTACTCCACCCACTCACCCCAAGTTGCTTTTCTCCCAGAGTGACTGGCTAAACAGGGCCAGTTATACCCACACCTTCCCTTGCTTGACCCCGAATAGAGCTGAGGACAGCTCTCACCCTTCCAGGGGACACCCTTGCCCTTTTCCCAGGACCCCCAAGGAAAGAGGAAGGGAAAACAAGAACCTTTTCTCAAATGGCCATGAGAAGGAAAAGCCTACAAAGATACCTGAGCGCAGTAAAAAAGACATGGTAAGCCAAACCATCTGCTCAAACATGAGGCTACAGTAACCTAGGCTTCACATGGATGTAATGTGAAAACTGACAAGGGAATAATTTCAGAAAGCTCAGTTTGTAGAGCACATACTGTTACTGGCAGCAGTAATGGCAGTGGAAGCATTTGCACTGATGACTGGATTCAGATCCTATTCAAAATGCTAAAGCTAAGGCTATGAAGGAAAACAATCTTTATTAACTTCTGATTATGCTGGGAATGTCACAGAGACCTAGAGTAATCAACACTCCAACTCCGGTCTGAAAAGAACGACTGGGCAGTGGGTCACAGAAGCTGGGGGGGGGGGCGCTTCCTGAGAATATTCCACAGGAAAGGGAAGGTGTTTGTTGAGTTGAACAGAATTATCAGGGGAGAAGAAGTGAGATTGGAAGCAGGAAATCAAATCAATCATATGGAAATTTATCAGCTGAACTGACAAACAACTGTCAACACCTTTCTGAAGTGCAAAAAGCTTGTTTTTAAAGTTAGGCACCTAATACAACTGAAATATTTACATCATTAATTACCTGCACCACCTCTTCTGATGATAATTTCTGCCTGAAGGGCCTTTGAGAATCTGAAATATTTATGGGGCCACTCCAGGTTGGGAAAGTGGAGCGGAGGGAGGAGAGGTCTCTATTCAAAGCCCTGCCCTTGACAAAGGGGAAATGCTTGGGAGCTCCACACATGGGATCTCTAGCATATTATCGAGTCTGGCCCTTAAGGTACTCTGTCCCCCAGGATCAACACATGAGATAACGGCCATCCAGCCTCAGCCGTTGATCTCTCTATGGGTATTTGACTATTCCCAGAGATTCTGCTGCTTCAGGGCAATTATTTGGCTCTGTGCCCACCCTTTACAGAGAGGCTTCTCAGTGATGCCGCCCCCACCGCCAAGGTGTATTCTGCCTTCCACACTGCTGGAAACAATTTCTCTAAAAAGCTCAGCGGTGCTGAACAAACAAAAATGGGGCTGAGATGGGTGATCTAACTTCTAACTGCTCTACCAGGCTGAGGTGGCACAGAGGGTATTCACGAAGTGATCAGCTGACCCATCTGTACTATTGGGTCAACAAACCTACATTCCAGTGCACATATAGACAGTAATGGAGACTCCATTTGGGTAACAATATCAATCCAGAACAGAGAAACTGAGCTGGGGAAATACATTTACCACTGGCTTGTGTGGTCTACAAGGTTTAGTTTGCCCTTTGTCTAGTAATTCAATCTACTTGCTCATTTCATTAAGCTCTTCTTTTTGAGCCAAACCAACTGTAGCAACAGGAGATCTGCAAATGAACTGCAAGCTACGTTTTAAACTTTACATTGTAACCACACAGGGATCTTGATTTGTATTAGGGCTAGGGCACACATATTTATTTATTTATTTTATTTATTTTTGCGATTTCTATGCCGCCCTACCCATACCTACATATGGGTGTCCGTGTGTGTGTGTTTTAGATTAGAAGACTCTGTCCTCCAGTGCTACTTTCACTGTCTGATTCATCATCACCCCAGAACTATTATTTGCCCATGGGGGCATACAGGTGTTTTTTTTTCCTTTCTGAGGCAAATGGGACTCTGATAGAGCTGGACATGCTGCCCTTGAAAACAGCATTGGGGGGGGGGGGGCGTTAAGCCTTAACCTCCCAAAGCCCCTAAACCAAACCAAACCAAACCAGGGTTCAGCACAACTTAAATTTAACACTTTAAAAAGTAGTACGAGGTTGATGGATTTCCTGCTGCAGTGTCTAGTTTGACCTCCAATTACATATTTGCTGCACCTAGAATAAACAGCTGTAGCGAGTCAAAAAGCCAGGTATGGCCCACAAGTACACATCTGTGAATTTGGATTCTGGAAATCCAATAGGCAAGAGACAGGAGGTTCCTAGGCAGATTCCTGTGGAGATTGCAAATACTGGGACATTGTGCAAATATCCATCAAAAAAACCCCAGGGCCTAGGAGGCTAGGAACCTGCCCCAGAGACACCACCAAGCAACTTCCTCCCAGGACAAAGAGTCTCCCTAAGCTTCTATGATCTGCCCCCCACTGACTGGGGATGCAGTTCTCAACTGGCTGTTTTTCAGTGGAGTCCTCTTTCCTGCAGCAGCAACACAGAGAGATGCAGACACACTGGGAATCTGCAAAGACCTCACTGAGCTCATTACGGTTTCCAAGCAAGTAGGGCAAAGCGGTGCACTCTCCAGCCAGGCCAGCACGCTCCATCACTGTTATCTGGCTGGTGCAGCCGAAGGGCAGGCGGTGAGCCAGCTGCCATCACACCAGAAAGGAACACAGCCATTAATGGATACAACAAACAAGGGATAGCAGCAGAGCTCAAGGAGGAGCCACCTGTCAGTAGGCTTCCTGTACCCCAGAGCAGGCTGGGAAGGGAGCACAACACTTTCCTCAGCACAGCCATCTTATTCCACTTTGTTGTGCATTAATTTGGCAGCAGAGAATGGGAGGAGACTGGCTGAAGGCAACGAGGGCACCCCCTTACCCACACGCAATCTGACAATGAGGTGATTCCCGTGTTCTCCAGCCTTGCACATTTCAGCAGGGCACACCTTAGTGATCCACAAAACAGAGTCACTGGCCACCCAGGAGCTTCCCTGAGGTATGCAGACAGGCAGAGCCAGGTGTGTGACAGGCAGGGAGATCACACAGGTGGTCCAGCTAAGTTGTCATTCCACTCTGAAGCAGAGAGCTAGGCCATGTGGACTCTCCAGGGGCTCCCAGAATTTGTGGGTAGTAAGTGAGAGCACAGCAGCCTCAGGCTGTGACACTGAGAAATTCCCAAGCATTTCTCAACTATGCTCTACAACACTGAAGCTTGGATGAGCGCAGCCTTATAGGCTCATTCCTCTGTACAACGTTAACGCCTGTCTTCCCCGTACCAACAATGTAGTGTGTTTCCTTCGGCTTACCTCGGGCTGCCTGTAACTGCTGGCGTTCAGCTTCACGTTCTGCCTTGCTCTGTTTGCTCCGCACACCAAGGGCACCTGTCACCAGTCTCCTAGCCAGAGCAGCTGAAGTCTCCGGACGTTCTTTGGCTGGTTGCAGGAATTCTAGAGGAGTTGGCATGGAAAACCAAAAGTCTCAGCACTGACTCCCAACACTACTTTTTATTCTACATGCTGAAGAGGGAAGACAGAAATGCAATGGAACCAAACGATTCCCTTCGCTAAAGCAGGGGCTGTCTGAAAGGATACATGCCACAAGAGAAGGAACAAAACACCAAGCACAGCTTTGAATCTCCCCTTTGCCACAGATATACCAGGGTAGCAAGAGGCAGGAAGAGAACCTCCATGAAGCTTCCCATGCCAGACTGACCCTATTAACTGATTTTAGGGTAGAAGTAGGCATCACAGACATCTTACAGTGGACACGGTAGCCTGAAACAACGATAGAGGGAATCCAACCGGCTTGATGTAACATGCATAAGCACGGGCAGGATCACAGATTAGCCTGAATGGGGGTATTTGGTTCACCAAAGGCCACACTGCAAATGTCTAAAATTTCACCTACTCGCACCAACCCACACTGCCCTTCATTACCAGTAGGGATGCTCCAAGACCTGCCAGTTCGGCTCACTTCCCATTCACCAGCAGCGATCAGGCAGCCAACTAATCGATTGGCTGTTCACATCCTTTTCATATGTATTTGCAAGAACAGGCCAATTGCAGCCATCAGAAGACAACACACAGCTGGTGAGGGATCAGCTGGGAGCCACCTTCTGATCTCCTGCTGGGGAAATTTTGCTGTGTGCTAAGCAAAGTTTTGTTGCTGTTGTTGTTTGGGGGGGGGGGGGAGAATCAGAAGCCCACTCCCAACTGATCAGCTGGCAGTCAGGTTCTTTTGATCTCCCATCTTGCTTCCTCCCAGATGCAGCAAACTACAGGAGGGGGTTGATCAGGAGCTCAGCTGATTTCCCTTTCCTTCTCCTCACCCCAAGCAATTGGCATGGAGTGCAGAAAAAAGGAGAGAAACAAACTCTTTCTCCTCTCCTGTTGCAATGTAGAGATAAGTGTCCTTTCTGGCCTCACCAGCATAGGATCGAGCCTTGGACTTTGCAGCTCTAGTGGCTTGTGATAGCGGACGGGTTTTCACCAACAGGTGCTTGGTGCTAAGAGCATCTTGAGCTGTAAGAAGAGAAACAGACATTATATAGGTAATGGGGTCAAGTGAATAGGACTTCTTGCCTGCTGAACACTATCAAGAGGCATAGTCCACTGTGCCACTAATCCCCTTCCAACCAGCAAGGGTACCCCCTGGCACCAAGCTAGAACTCCTACCTGCAATGGGGCTGGAGAAGATACCCAGTGCATGTGTATCATCAACCCATTTAATGTCAAAGCCTTTCTTCCTGGTGAGGGAGAACAAAGAGAGAGAAATTGGGGATGTAAGGCCATTCTTGGTGGGGGAAAAGAAAAAAAATTAAGGGACTAGAACTCTGAGGGGAACTTCTGATTGGATGGGAGCTAAGAAAGCAGTATCTTCACGTTCTCACCAGAGGGTGGAAAGGCTGTCTGGCACAGTCGATACAGCACTCCCTCAATGGGAAGCAGTGCCAATCCATAGCTGGGCAGTTTTGGAGCAAGGCAGCTGCTACAGGCTTCAAGTCAGAGAACACCTCCACACCTGAAAGGTGGTATTAAGTATACGGAGTGGGTGATACATGTGAAAACTTCACAGCATCAGCAGTGTGATGCGGTAACTAAAAAGGCAAAAGCGATTTTGGGATGTATCAACAGAAATACAGTGTCTAGATCACATGAAGTGATGCTATCGCTTTACTCTGCTCTGGTTAAACCTCACCTAGAGTATTGTGTTCAGTTTGGGGCACCACAGTTTAAGAAGGATATAGACAAGCTGGAACGTGTCCAGAGGAGGACAGCAAAGATGGTGAGGGGTCTGGAGACCAAGTCCTATGAGGAAAGGTTGAAGGAGCTGGGCATGTTTAGCCTGGAGGAGACGACTGAGAGGCGAACCATCTTCAAGTACTTGAAGGGCTGTCATATAGAGGATGGTGCAGAGTTGTTTTGTGTTGCCCCAGCAGGTCAGACCAGAACCAACGCATTTTCAGCTAAACATTAGGAAGAACTTCCTTACAGTTAGAGCAGTTCCTCAGTGGAACAGGCTTCCTTGGGAGGTGGTGGGCTCTCCTTCTTTGGAGGTTTTCAAACAGAGGCTAGATGGCCATCTGTCAGCAATGCTGATTCTGTGAACTTAGGCAGATCATGAGAAGGGAGGGCAAGAAGGGCTGCATCAGTGCTTAGTTCCTTGTGGCCCTTTCTTACACACCCAGGAAAATGCTGACGCCACTTTGTGGTCAGGAAGCAATTTTTCTCCAGGCCAGCTTGGCTGGAGATCCTGGAGGTTTTTTGTAAATTGAATGTAAATGTAAATAAATAAACTTCTGGGTTGTGGAACAGGGGTCACTGGAGGTGTGGGAAGGAGGTATTTGTGAATTTCCTGCATTGTTCAGGGGGTTGGCCTAGATGACCCTGTAGGTCCCTTCAAACTCTATGAATCTATGAAATGGAAAGGAAATCCCAGAAGATTAAAGATATGCTTATCACCACCCCTGCCCCCAAAACTAGCACAAAGGAGAAGGTATAATTGTCCAGAACAGGGCATACTGCTCACTGGTAACTGCAGAAAACATGCAGCAAGTCCTCTGTGCGGAATTCTGGTGGGAAGTCGTAGATCTCAATGACGTGCGGAAACTCGGAGTCACTTAGGTCCAGATTAGCTGGAGAGTAGCTGTAGTAGTCAAAGCGTGGCTCCTGCAATCCTGAGGGGGATAAGGCATGGCCAGAGAGCTGGAGGAGAAAGCAGTGGGTGACTGTGAACCAAATGTGCAAAGTGACATAACAGAAGGCCCTCTTACCACCACCCCCTCCTCTCAAAGCAGCAGACCACAAATTTGCAAAAAAAACCCACCCTCACCCTGGGGTCATGTTCAGGGACCTGATCCGTAACCAGATCCCCACCCTGCAAATGACAATCACACACCTCCTCCCACTGCCAAGCACTATGGCACATCCCGGCCTCTGGGCTTTTTTGGTAGTCCCGAAGCAGGTGCACTGGCTGATTGATGGGGCTGTGGGCTCATGCTCTGGAGAAGGATTGATGGCCCGCGGGAGATTGGGAATTATTGATCAGATGCCTCCTGCTGCTTGCATGCTTTCCCCATTTAACATTTCCCTCTGCCATTTCACCAGGTCCAGGGAGGTGGTTCCTCTCATTGTTTCCAGAAAAAGAAGCTGGAGTGAGCCTTTGCTCTCAGCATATATATATATATATATATATATATATATATATATATATATATATCCCGCCTGTGCAACACCCCACAGAAGGGAGATTAGCTGCATCCCAGCCAACTCCAGAAGCAGATGTATACTGTAACCCAGTTTGCAAGGCAGGTATGATGTTTACACTAGGTAAATGGATAGGACTAGAAGGAGTGTGAGAAGCATGGGAGATAAGAGGGACGTGCTCAGACACAGGAGCCAGGAAGTCACACAGCAAGGCACTAGCATGTGGATGGGACCTCTATTTCCCATGTCAGCTACTATACCCTATCTTTGATGCTGAACCAGAAAATACAATAGTGTAGTCAAGGGTAGTCTCAGCATAGTAATGCAGTCACTAGTCAAGATTAATAATGTATACTGGTCAGAGACTCAAAAAGAAAGGATCAGGAGGATGAGACACACAAGTGCAGTGGGCTTGACTTAAGCAGTGATATCCTTGCTTGCATCATGGGAAGAATGAAAGCATGCAACGGGGGACCTCACAAACCATTCCATGGGGAACGGGATCACCCTAAGGAGCTATGGTTTTTCATGGGAGAAAAGCACCGTCTCCTAAGCTCCTCAAAGGACAGGCAAGCAGGACTCCTCCTGTAGGGGAAACAACCAGAACCTCTGGGAATACCACAAAATGCTGGCAGAGCTCATGAAAAAACAGTGCTGTTGTCCCTGTACCAACATCCTGATGACCTAAAGGTACAAAGTTGGTCCCTGCGTGGAAATGCCTTGACCTGGCCACCCTCCAAATGGATGGCTAGGGGAAGCCCCATTCCCTGAGGGCACAACATCACTCACCGCTGGAAGACTAACAGAGCCCGGCTGCTGCCAATCTGTTAGTGAAACACTTGCACACAGAGCAGCACACATCCTGCTGGCAGCAGGGTCTATAATTCAAGTAGGCTCTTCTTCCCCAAGCACCTGCACCAACACAATCCATGAAAGGACAAGGAGAGTCTACAAATTCCAACCACTCCAGTCAATAAAGGACAGTCATTCAGATAATTTATCGGGGAAAAGTGAATTTGTGGGTAGGTGGGGCATGCAAGAATATAACTGGTCAAGCCAGGGAGGAAGGGGTGAGCTGAACATCAGGGACGTCAAAGAGTGTGTGCCGTTGTAGGTTTAACAGGAACCAGCCTGTGAACCTAGACATTAGGAAATGCAGTGATTAGATCCCAATAGTTTCACGCCACAGAAACACTTGAGGGAGTACAGCAACTGCAATATCGAGTGGCTTAGCAGACTATCAGAGACGGTGGACTGCACTCTGCATGAGCACCCCTGCCCTTCACAAGCCATTGGGTGCAGAAGAGGAGACACGGAAGGATGGGGGCTGCCTGCCAAGCAGTGGGGTGATGAGACTGGGATCAGCATTTTACAAAGTATGGAAAATTCTCTATGACACCTAATGGAGGAGGGAGTGCTTAATGCTCAGCTTGCACCACTTATCCTTGCAGATATGAGCCTGGTATGAGGCTAATAAGCCTACACATGTTTCAAGCAATGCAGTGGATGCACGGCATTCCGTTATAACAAATATATTAGCAATGGTTCACACACCGAGAAAGCGAGCCCATTAATGCTGGTGTTTCCTGTCTTGGGTCGCTTACAGGAACTGTCCGCCCTCATGCCGCATTAACACAGTCCCAGCCTCCTGCTCTCAGTCTCCTTCCCAGAGACTGCTAATGTTCAAGAGTTGTCCTGTGCTGGGAAAGGTTCTGCCAGCGGATGCAGAGGCAGCAGGGAGCAAGAGGACACAGGAAATGAAGACTGTCTGCCACGGCTCAACGCTCTCCAAAGATTTATCCGAGCTGGTGCAGGTTCCAGCCAAGCAGGGCAGCCTGCCGCAGATTGCTGCTCAGCTTTTGAGACAGAAGAAAACAAGAGGCATGGGGTCGGGAGGCTGGGGTGGAGAAGCCTCATAACCCATGGGGAATTACAGGCATTTCGGCATGAGGTAGGAATGTGCCCCCCTTGAGACCTTGCACAGCTACAGCTCACCCCCTCCACCCACATGTACTGGCCAGTTATATCATCCCCAAGAGCAAACACAGCTCTCCCCCCCGCTCCTCGAACTGATCTTCTATAGAGATACTTTATCTCCAATTATTGCATCTTTTCCATGGGTGACTGAAGGACTACACTGCAGTGCACTGCACAACTGGGTGGATAGCTTGTTAGGGCAGCCATGTTGCTTGAGTACAGGGATCTTGAACAGTTCTGAAAACCACAAGAGGGAGAGTTTCAGAGTTTCAATTACAAATTAAAGGGTTTCCCCCTCCTAATTTAGATATGCATATAGATAATATATACACATACAGTGAGGGGTGACAAGCGTGCAGTTTACTCAGTGGGTCAAAAGGGTTGGGCTGGATGGCCTTTAGAGGATCTGATTTTGATTTTGTTTACTGCCTTTTTAATCCCAATTTTATAAAATGAAAACAAGATAATCCATCTACATCTTCAGGATGACAAAGACCAGGCACAGCTGTCTCAGACATGAGCCTCCCTTATTTAATGAAATCCGGGGGCTGCCAAAAGGGAGAAATTCCTTGTGGCTCCCCTTGGCCTTCTCCCTAGACTGTCAGAACCTTACCAAAAATCAACAGTCATGAGTACCAGACAGACAGAAAATGCTACAATGCTGTCCCCACAGAAGGCAAATCCCGCAATATCAACCCCAAGCATGGGTGTGCATCTGGATATTTCCAATCAGAAACAGTGGGCAAAATTCCCTGTTTAGTTTCAGATCAGGTATTTCTGACTGGAAACTAAGGGAACTTTGTGCACTGTTTCTGACTGGAAATAAAATGAATGCACACACCTAATCCCAACTATAACACCTACAGTGAGCACAGTTGGTCCTCTGTTCCCACCACACATGTATATCTACTGATCAATACCTGCCCCAATCCGCCTTGTGTAGAACATTCAGCCCAGCACTTATGTTCAACCCATGATGCCATGCGAAGTACCTCCCTTGTTGTTCTGCATAGATCTGATTGCTCTCTTCCAAAATTCCACTTTCACACTCCCCAAGCTCAGTGCACTGGTTCCTACGTAGCACAATGAGTTATACTGACCTTGGTACAAGGAATTAGAGTAAGTTTCTCACCAGGGCAAGCAATAGCACAGACACAGCTTTATTTAGACACAAGTTGTTTTCTCAGGGTTTTTGTCTATTTTTATCTCACCTTATTTTTATTTTTTAAACACAAGCAGGAAGATATGGATAAGTGCATGTCTGCATCAACACAGCCACAGGGCTAGAACTGCAGAAGAAAAGCCAAACTCTGCTTTTTGCAGGAATTCTGCCCATGAATTTTCACTACATTTTTCCAGCATCTCTCCCTCTCCCTCTCTAATACTCCATCTTTAGTAGCATTTTGCACTGGCAGTTAAAGGAGAATCATTTTTAACTGACACAGGAAGTTCCTGCAGTAGTTTAGTATACCTCTGTGAGTAATTTACTGCAAGATACATGCAAATTGACTCAAGAAGGGGCATGTCTTGCAGTGGATACTGCAGTAAGTTCAGGAGTAATCACTAGGGCAAATACATCCCAGCAATGTTATTTCCCAGCAGCTTTTCTGTACATTCTGCTACTTATATTCATGCAAAGACAGAGAACCACCTACACCACATACCAGGATCTGTCACTTGTGTGGCACCTGGCTTTCATTCTCGGCAACCCAAATGCTGTTTTTTTTTCTTTTTGCAAAGCAGCTAATTAAGTGCAATAGATACACGCTTTTGTGTAATTGGTCTGGACCAAAGTCTTCCATGGTCCCTGCTCCTGGCTTATGTTTTTAGGGATGGGCACTAACAACATTTTTGCAGTTCGGCTTGCGCCTCTGAGCTGCTCTTCATGAATGGCCACTCTTTCCGCTCTTCATGAACAGCCACAAACTGCCTTAAAATTCATGGTGGTTCTTCAGTTTCTGAATATTGCTTCATGAACCACGAACCAGCCGAAAGCCGTCACAAACTTTCATTCATGAGCTGGTTCGTCCTCATCCCTAATTCTTTCACCTTTGTTACTGAAGCATTTTCTTGCCTTCTCCCCCTCCCTACACAAAGTGACTTTCTGCCATCGAACCCATTTGTGAAGACATCCTGTTAACTCTGTCTGCTAATTTCTTTTAACAGATGGTAAACCTCACTACTTCATGACCCCAAATTCCAACTAGTTCACAAGCTTGTCTGAAGGTTCTCTCGCTTAAGAAGAGATGGGAGATATCAGACAAAATATAGGGCTAAGGAGAAGGTATGTGTGAGTATATTGATGCAGCTGCAATGACACAAGCTCAGTGTTTCTTAAGAATAAGAAATCTAAATGACAATTCTAGGAGGGGAAAAATACACAAACAATGGAAATACATGAAGACTTATCCCAGGTAATGATTGATAATGCTGAAAGGAAACACAGTGCTGGATCGGATATAGCCTAAACTGTTCTTTGCAGTACTTTTCTACAGTGTGATATTCCTGGCATCGAATGTCTTGCCTCTGAGATTAAAAAAAGAACATGATGCCACGTAACAGTCATTTGCCTCACCTGGCAACTGTAATTTCTGGGGGAGTTCTCTGATTGTAGCACTGTTCAAAAGAAGCAGTTACTAAAATGCTGAAGGGAATCTGTAAATCACAAAATAAATATTCCCCTGCCCTGCATGATCCCAGGTAATCTGGATTTCCCCACAGCCTGGCTGAAAGTCAGCTTGCACCTCTTTCTCAGTTTTTCTTGGGAGTACTTCTACCTCATTCTCTTCTCTTTTTTTGCATATTATACTCTCCCCTGAGTGGCTACATATTCCCCTATTTCTAGAATTGGTGCTTCTGAATGCAAATATTTTCTAATGTACTGGCACCAATTCTCACATAAAAAACGGGCACAGTTTTAAGAAACACAATTATTTTATAAGACAGAATACTACCAGTGGGTCATGTGCACAGGAGGCAAAATCTATGCATGCCTGGGGTTTATGAGCTCTGAGGACAAAGCATTAAAATGTGCATTTGCAACAGGACTGTTCCACGCCTCATCATTCCTGTTTACACTCGGGCATTGTGTTGCACTGCTGCTGCTCCCCTTGTGACACCAACGCAGCCTGACTGGTACAGAAAAGAAAGATAAAGACATAGTCCTGCCAGATAATCTAAATTGTTTTTCCTTTCCTTGTGGCTTCCGGCATGCAAGAATTTATCCTGTCTACTTCTCAGACCAAAATGTTATCCTTTGTCCTCTCTTTCCTCCATTTGTAATCTGAATTCTTGAGAAGCTCAGCTTCCAGTCTTAAATTGAGTTCCAAGCTACCACAGTTCTAGTAGTTAGTATCTATAAATATTCACCTGTATGGAGGGGGGTGGTGACAGTCTCCCCCCCATGATCACCTGGGAACTGGTGCTCGCTTACAAAAGAGGGAACTGGTGCTCTCTTATAAAATAACAGTGGGTGCCTGAACATATGGAACTGGGAGCCTGAACAGTGGACCTTTGACTGCAGCACACAGAGGAAGAAGGA